TTTTTAAGAGCGCGGCGCTTCTTCTTGAGAAATCAATTGAATCGACGTATGCAAAAACGTCCGTTGTCCAATACAGGGATTCATAAATGCGGTGGGTTTCTTTTGTCCCACGACACTGAAGAATAGGGTCGATCTCTTTTGTAAAGTTTAATTACACTTAGGGGATTATTTATAAAATTGTTCTATATTCCTAACGTCTTAAACCATCTTGTGTCGTGAAATTACAACGAAATTGTCCACTCAAATTCTGAAACACTGTCTTGGACATCGGACGTTTTCGAATACGTCGATTCGATTGTGTGCCCAACTCCGCCCCAAAGATACGATACCGGAAAACTCGATCTCTTTCGGTGCGAACGGGGCAACACCGCCGAAAACCGGTTAATTACCTCAGCGGATGCTCCCGCTTGTATGGTAAAATAAAACGGTCTCGTGACCAGAAATCCGAGCCCCTCACGGACCCATCGACCGCAAAACTCGGTGAGCAGAACATGCTCCGCGTCCCCCGCTCCTCCCCCGGGGGTATGGGCTGGGCGCAGTGTCGCATGTAACATGCATGGACGGATGCCCAGTTCGCGCCCCTCTCGATGGGGGGAAGGGGGGCGGGGGGCCCTCCGGCATGGCGCGGCCCAGGCCCCCTTCCACTCCCCTCTGGCCCGCGGGCGGGTGACTATTATTATGTAGACGGACGGACGACACCGACTATTACACGGGTCGCACCGCTGTCAACATTTTTAAGCCCTGTTTACACGGATCGGACGAGACAGATATCTCGCCGGGAACGCCGCCACTGCCCACTCCATCTATTTTTAGACGCCTGCGAGCACAAGGGATCAACGTGCAAAAAAAAGTTTTAGAAAAAAACAATGGATTTTCCATGATGGCCTTATACCGAATGTCTGTTAAGACCTCATTACAAAAAAGCCTTACCTCTTTCTCATTAACCCCCCCCCCCCCCCCCTCCGAAAAAAAATATTTGTCAAGCGGTTATCTAAAACCTCCTTAAATCATTGGCATCAAAGACAAAGTATTATAGAAATCCCGCATCGAAGGATCTAAGAAATTCAATTGAGAGAGACAAAAGTTAAATTCGTAGTCCAACACTATTTTTCGATTGATTCATACTTGGATCGCATTTTGCAAAAAGGAACCGAGAGCATTCCAATGTTGCAAGGGTTGTGCAACATACATTCTTTGCAGCGAAATTACTGAAAGAATGAAAAAAAATCATACTTACAAGGATAATTTTCCTTTTGAATTCATAGTATATCGAGAGTGAAGATAAAATTTGTGTAGATGATCAGTTTAGATCTGCAGGGTAAAGAAAGTTGCACAATCTTAGCGACATTGGAATGCTCCTGGTTCCTTTTCGCAAGACGCAATCTACTTCGACTGTTTTTTGCAATTGGGAATTACTATTTCTGAATCATCCTCAAATTCGCATGGAGAAACTAACGACACACATGGATTGCATTTTGCAAAAAGGAACCACTAGCATTGCAATGTTGCTAAGATTGTGCAACTTCTTTTGTCTTGGAGGAAAACCCCGATTATCCATTAATAGTTTCTATTTTACTCGCTAAAAACTGTGAATTTAAGACAAAAATTACCATCTAAATTTCATAGTTTGTCACGATTTCCGCAATTTTATTGCAAAAGAGAAGTTGCACAATCTTAGCATCATTGCAATGCTATAGTGGTTCCTTTTTGCAAAATGTAATCCACACGTGTCGTTTCTGAAATAAGCCAAAAATAGTAGTTCCCAATCGTAAATTATGGCCGATTTAGCACATGGTCTTGTTAGTAGCGAGTCCGGTCTGGAGTGAGACACGGCCGAGGGGCGGCCAATTACGTCCTCCGGCGGGCCGCGCGGCCATCGGTCAGCGCCGGCCGCGCCGCGTTGACAACTGCCCGCGCTCATGCACCGTGACATGTGCTCCTGCTCCTTATTATTGCTCCCGGAATCCTCCGCTTCACAGTTGAACGGCCTGTCTTGCTCCATCTTCATTCCACTCGGTTGGAATGCCTGCGTACGGAGAGTATTGCCATGTCGGTGCCGCTCTCCGATTGGTTAACAAGTCGCTTGCCGCGCCGGTCGATTCGACCGGCATCGATGATTCCCGCAGGGGCCAACGGTCATTGAAAACGACCAATTTTTCCCACAGACCCTCCGCTAACCTCATGCTGACGGGTGGAAACTTTAACTTGCGGGGATTCAACACGTCGTCACCTTCCAGGCAAAGTATCTTAAGCGCCATGCGACGTTTAAAAATTTCCGCCGCCATTTTATTTCTTTACAGAGAAATTGTTCAACGAAGCTGTCCGAAAATTTCACTGAATTTTCTTTGTGCTGCCGATAAAATTTAGTGAAATTTCCAAACAGATTCAACCAACAATTTCTCAGTAAAGAAATAAAATGGCGGCGGAAATTTTTAAACGTCGCATGGCGCTTNATCGATTTTTTACCATAGGTTTAAATGGCAGAACAATCGATACATCGCAAAGCACGCCACGCCACTGAAAACGACCAATTTTTCCCACAGACCCTCTACTAACCTCATGCTGACGGGTGGAAACTTAAACTTGCGGGGATTCAACACTTCTTCATGGACGATCATAAGGCGGCAACAGTCGTCACCTTCTTTGGGCTGTTGACCAACCCAGGGGTGCTAAAATCGGATCAATAGCAACCGAAGGACAGCGCTTTAAAAAAAATCAAAATGGCGGACTTTAACGGCCGCCATCTTGCTCCAGTCGCGGGTCTCAGAGTGTTGCCCCTTCCAGAATTCCTCCTGAGGGTACCACCAATGAGCCCTGAAAGCGGCATATTCCAATCAAAAAGTGCAGGGTTTTTTGGCGTAGTCAACGGACTGTGCAGAATGTTCACAAACCAACGACCCACCGCTCGTTCGCGAACTGCGTAGGCGATGGGAAGATTGTGTAGGCTACGACCCCGTATGCTGTAAAATTGCTTACGTTTTGGTCAAAATGCGCTCCGTTGTTGCGTGCACCTCCTGAAGTTGTGAACGTGCACTACGTTACACATTTCCAAAAACTGCCGTGACAGCGAAGAGAGCAGCAAGTGCAAAGATGAAGTTTTTAAAAAAACGGGCTCAGAAGCGCCTGAGTGGAAATTTTTTTGGAGAGAAGCCTCCGTTTTTTGATAAATTGCCACTAATCATCCAAAAGACTCTTGGAAATCGCTTGAATGCTTAAAATAGACCGATTTTATTTCAATTGCATAAAAAGGGAATTATTCATTTTCATGTTAGGCTAGTGTCAGGCAAAACAGCCGTAAGTGATATCTACTGCATGCTTTCGTGGTTGCGTTTGGGCACACAACAAACACATTTTCAGCTTAGAAATTGGCAGAAGAGGATGGCACTGTACTAGAAAGCACTGTTTTCATTGGTTATCTGAGGGAATAATGTCACTTACTGCTTATTTGCCTGACTTAACGTCAGTTTTTGCGCACTTGAGGCTTGGCTTACTCATGTCTCGTTTTCATACAATTAAGATGAATTTTGCTGTTTCACCTATTTCTGTGATTTCGTCTAAAAGATGTTCGACAAATTTCGAAGGAAACTCGATTTTGAAAATTTGACACTTACTGCTCTCTTCGCTATAACGACGGAATATGGTGCGCATCTGAGAACTTACACGATTCGCGAGTCAAGTGCCGAGAGCGAGACTAGAGTCGGGGAGACGGCGCAATGCTTGAAGTATTCCTACAATTTTGCAGGCGCTTCCCGGGATCGTTCTCCGCGCAAAGTTCAAAGTTACGGAAATTTTCTTCCGGAAGATGATGCCCCTTGTCAAAAAGCAGGTCACAATTATGAGGCAACAAAACTTGCTCGCATATCTACAGCAATGAAAAAGAGCTTGGTCTCTTTTCCACTGACTCGGAGATCTTAATACGGAGTAGAAAAGTTGGATAGGGCGAATCGCGAGATAGAACTATTTCGACTTTCAAGAAGATAAAATTGCGTAGCCACGAAATGGAGGAAAACATGGTGTTCTATATCATCCTAACTATTCAGTTTGTTGGATCCAACTTTTTTGGAGTTGAAAAAACTTAAGTCGGGAAAAATCACTTGAGGCGTTGGATTTACCTGACTCTGTACGGAAAAACCAATGCATTTTCGCGATGACCGAGTACAAGTTTTGATCCAATTGCAAATTCAATGAGTGCAAATGATCCTTCATCCATTCGTAATTTCGCATTTCTTCAGAATTTATTGGCCACATTTAACTTGTTCTCATTGAATTTTGAAGGATGAATAGGTACGTGCAAAGACGGCTACCACCGATTTTCCTCTAATGGATTACATCACTATTCCGACCTTTTGGTGGAATCTCTTGAAAATAGGGTCGTGATATTCAAGAAATAATCAATGTCATTGTCACGACAGATATTTAGGTGAAGTTAGGCAAGGGGACATTATGCGCTAATAATTCGTGTGAAAATTCTAATTGCCTTTTGGCAGCTTTACACGAGTTACCAATGTAGGATTATGATGGTCCTCATCAGTCACTCCACGACGGTTCCACACTAATTACATGCTTTTACTCCGTGATTAACCTCGTGTCGACGTTAATGGCAGTAACTCATTCCATTCTCTCAGAATAATAACTTGATTTAAGGAACTGTAAAATCAGATGTTTTATTCTAAGTGAATTGAAATCTCGATAATCCTACTCGTAAAATATTCTCAGAATCTTTCGCTATAAAATAAAAGTAGATTGGTAATAACCGTAAATTCTAAGAAAGTGGCTGAGTTAGCCTTTTCATTCGGGTTAAAGCGTCACATTAAAAGCGGTATAAAATTATTCGAACATGCTGTCTATTTTGACTTTTTTCTTTCCCTGTTTTTGTTGGGTACTTTTTAATTAATACACTCAAAAATACTGTTCATATAGGAATGGATAGGAGCAGATGGTCATGATTGATCATGACAAAATCTACGAATAGAGTTTATAGAGAAGTAAAAAATCAAATATATCACATCAACATTTTATTTGTACAAAAACGTGTAGTGAACTCTACTTCGTCTATGAAACACAGCAAATTGAAATCAATCGTTTTACATTTTTCACATATACAATATGTACAACAGCTACAACAAACAGGGTCGTAACGATAAATAAATAAGTTAATTAAACAAGAATTGCTTTGATAAACGAACGTTGTTGTTTAATTGACCAAGTTACAGAGTCGTACTCATTCGAGAAAGAAACTGGAATAGAAAAAAAAATTGGTCAATCAAATCAAAGAAGAAAATAAATCAATCAATCCATAAATTGGTTAGAGCATTAATGATTCCATTACGGTTAAGCATTATGTTACGCTACTTCAAGACATTCGTCAATGTCAGATTTCCAACATATTTGCCGCTGTAAAATGAAGAGGCTTTTATACTCCAATTCTTTTAAGTGATTTGGCCGAGAGATCTTCAGTTTTTTTTTATTGAAGTGAGAAATATTTGAAAATGTATATTAGAAAGGAGTTTCAATTGTAACATTCTTTAACTTTGTAAAATAGTAGCTTTCCAATCTAAGAAATGAGACACGAATTCAGAAACCCTCCTCCGCCCGCAAAATAAAAGAGCAGACACCGTTGATGCTGGGTACGGAAAGGGTTCTAAAATCGACATGAATTATTCTCTGCGATATTGCAGAAGTGAATTATTCTGGAATACTAGTAAAAGTTTGCAAATGTATCGGATTCACTGTAACTTCCAAACCTCTTGGCATTTTGAGAGACACTTAAATTACGTCTTCTTTGACTTAAAAGAACCATCTGCGGATAAAGGAAACCTTGTTTGTCTCAATTTCTTTATTGACATGATTTGACCACGTCGTGTACGTTTTGCGAAATGATGATTGAAATTTGTAGCTCTTCCGGAACGAATAGGAAAAAAATAAAATAAACTAATGGCAACAAGACAACGTATGTAACCGTTTGCAGAAAAATACGTCTGAATTTCTTTTTCTTTCAATTTCTTTTTTTCTTGTTTTGAGGATAAGAGACGGTCATTTCAAAATCATTTCCCTAGGTTTCCACTGCACGAGGGAAAAAACATTTTTGGAGTGAAATGGATGGCTTCCATGTTGTTAACAATTTGGCGACATATTGTTTTTAAGACTGAATTATTGTTTTGAAAAGTGTTGAGATAATATGCGCGACCCGACTTGAGAAATTCAATGACTGAAGAATAGAAAAAATTTCGATGCATTTCCCGATGAGATTGGATTACTTCAATTTTATTGGAAGAAATCGACGATTTATTCATAGTCTGAGCCCAAAAGCAATTCCATGAGATCATTTAGCCAATAAACAATACTTTTCAAAGCCTCTGACCCTACTCTAATGAAAACTGAATAATTAAATCGGTATGAATAATCTTGGTCAAATTACTGGATACATTGGTAACATTTACGAGGTGGGGACTCTTTCCTAATAGTGGTAACTAAATGTTATATATCAGAATAAACCGATGTGTTGATTTTTGAATCCGACAATAAGTGAAATAGAGCATATAAGGCAAATGTGTGAATACATTTTGTACCTGCCCAGGAAGTTCACTCCCCGTTTCCTCCAAGGAATATGCGAGGAGGCAGGTGGCAAAGTTTATCGAGTTAACTTAAAATCTAACAATACAAAAGACATGAAAAATAGGAAAAGAAAATACAATGAATACAGATAACCTACCCTGAAAACTTATCGATAGCTAAGTAATCAGTTATATCACAGAAAATCATATCGCAGCCGTTCATACACGAGCCGCATGAGCAACGGTGGTTTAATTTAGATGTCGCAATCAACACTCAACAGGCATGAAAAGCCAATGGCAAATTACGAGGAACGCGCTGCAACGTTTCGCTACAGACTGCGCAACTCAACGGTACTGGGCACCGAGCATGGACTTCCGATTATCAACGCGGGCCTTCCTGCCGCCCGCCACCCCACAAGCATCGCGGGTACAAATAATACGAAATACATGCACTACAAATATAAAATAACGCAGATTTACGAACGCGTCTACATAATAGCGACGGCTGCATTCTCGAGGCTTGAACTCGCGGTAGCGGATGCCGGCATTCCGATCAGTCGAGGGATTGTCAAAACCCGCGAACAAGGGAGCTCAAACGCGAAAAAGTCTGAATGTAAATTTAGCCTGGATTCCAATTGCGTAATCGGCGGGTAGATTAATGAAATTGATGGAAAAAGCAATAGACATAAAAGAAAGAGGGGAGATAAGGCGATCCTATTGGTGGGAGAAGGAGGTACGTAATAGACTAACAGTCTGCTAGCGACAGTACATTATTGTGCAGGAAAAAAAGAGAAAAAAACCAGTAGAATATATCGGTACAGTTTTATGAGTGCCTTGAATGGTAATTAATTGTTAAAACTTGTTTGAAATAAAATAAAAATGCTTGGAAAATATCGTTTTCTTTATATGGGTATTTCATTTTTTTCTTTAAAGAGCAGCGTGCAGAAGAGTCAGCATAAATGGCTTAATTTCTTATATTTTTTTATTTAAGTCCCTGATTTGGCGTATTATAATGCTGCTAAGTAGAAGTGATTTGACGGTACTGATTAAAAGCACTTAATAAACTGTAAAGGTTTCACGCTGAAAAAAAATTTCTTCAGCTTGAAAAATCGAGCTCACTATTTTAAGATTCAAACGTTTTCATGTTATTTTACCATGCATTCGAGTTAAGCGCATCAAATATTCATAATTTCAACTCAGCCTGAGTAAATAAGTTTTGAAATTCGAGAGTAAATTATTATTATTATAGTAAAGTCTTAAAAAGAAACTGGAGAAAATAAACATTATTCGGCCACTTAAAAAAATTTAAGTCAGCTTCTCGTCGAAGATCGCAAAAGGAGGAACGAACACTCAAGCGCATGCCCACTTTTAAACTGAGATAAAATTATTAGGGAGGTAAAATGACCAAAAATACTGGGAAAAAGCAAGGGGTTGCATTAGGACCACAAATAATTATCGATGCGGTAATTTAAAGTCATGAACGCACGCGACGTTCCCGTTTCTTAATTTATCCTTGGGCTAGATGCGAATAAGAATTTTGGAAATAATTCTTGTAAATATCAAGACGATGTAGTTGAGTTCACATGCGGAATTTAGCTCTAACCATTGGCACAAAGACTGACTGAAACACTGAGAGCTCCTGGAGAAAATTTAAGTGCATATTATTGGTAAAATAGTAACAGATTGCAACATCGTAACGTACCCGAAATGAGACTGGAATTTGGATCGGGACATTTATGACCGACAAGAGAATGCGCCTTGAGCAATGCAGCAACCGGGCAAGGCATAGGAGTTACTCAGCAAGCGTTTGAACATCGCGACCTACGGAATTTTTCCATATTAAAAATGTTCGGATATTGACGTTGTCATTATCATTTTTGGTAGGAAATAAAAGTGGAAGTACAGAGAATTCTGCATACTCTTATCTAGTTCCGTGTTTGTGATGATGACCAGCATGACCAGAATGTTGATGTCCATGCGCTGAATGACCGGAGTGTTTATGTGCATGAGCAGCATGGCCAATATGCTGATGCCCATGACCGAAACTACCAGCGTGTCCGTGCCCATGTCCGAGGAGTCCTTCGTGATTGTGCCCATGACCAAAGGATCCCCCGTGACTATGTCCGTGACCCAAGTTACCAAAATGATCATGGCCGTGTCCGAAACTACCACCGTGGGCGTGTCCATGTCCGAAACTACCCCCATGACTGTGCCCATGACCCAACGCCCCTTCGTGGCCATGACCATGACCAAAACTTCCACCATGAGAATGACCATGGCCAAGGTTGCCGGCATGTTCGTGGCCGTGGCCAAAACTGCCAGCATGACCGTGTCCATGCCCGAAACTGCCGCCGTGACTATGACCATGCCCGATCTCTCCCTCGTGAAGACTTTGATGGCCAAAAGTTCCACCATGATCATGTCCATGGCCTAAACTACCACTGTGACCATGGCCATGACCGAAACTTCCACCGTGGCCATGTCCATGACCAAGAAGGCCAGCATGGCTATGACCATGAGCTGCATTGCCTGAATGGCCGTGACCATGGCCGAAAGATCCACCGTGACTGTGACCGTGCGTTGATGAGCCTTGGTGTTTGTGTCCGTGGCCGAAGGACCCTTCATGATGATGGCCATGACCAAGATGACCTTGGTGATGATGCCCGTGAGCGGCTTCACCATGGTGTTGATGTTCATGACCAGCATGACCACTATGGTGATGGCCATGTCCAAAGTCACCCCCATGTTTGTGTCCGTGATGAGCATGACCTTCGTGTTTATGACCATGACCGAAGTGCCCACCGTGATGATGACCATGAGCCGCATGACCTTCGTGCTTGTGACCGTGACCGAACGATCCATGATGATGGTGGTCGTGAGAGCCATGGCCATGATGCTTATGGCCATGACCGAACTCTCCACCGTGATGATGTCCATGAGCGGCATGACCCTCGTGCTTGTGACCGTGCCCAAATTCACCATGATGTTTGTGGGCATGTCCGAACTCTCCGTGATGCTTGTGATGATGAGATCCATGACCTTCATGCTTATGACCGTGACCAAATGATCCACCATGATGATGCTTGTGTCCAGCATGACCCTCATGATGATGTTCATGCCCAGCGTGTCCTTCATGTTCGTGGCCGTGTCCGATGTGACCTCCGTGATGATGTTTATGGTCTCCATGGCCATGATGCTTGTGAACGTGGTGAGCTTTCCCGTCGTGATTATGTTTGTGATCGACATGGCCATTGTGGTAATGTATATGCTTGATTACACTAGAAATATTATTAATTGTTACAAGATATGTAAAATCCATTCAAAAGACGACACTAATTTAAAAGGAAAAGAGAAAAGTTAGGATAGTTAGGATTGAGTGTGAGACAGTTAATTTTTGAAGAAAAATCGAGGAGATAAATATTGTACTGCACTAACTTTATGAGGCACTGAGGACCAATGACGAAGGTAAAAGAACTTTGAGGAATGAGTGAGAGGATGAAAGCTCAAGAGAATATAGAGACGGGTGATGAAAGATGAGACACACATACCGAATTGTATCGAGGTTTTGAGAAAAAAAAATGCCATGAAGAGTTCGATACTTGAGCACCTCTTATTCTCTGCGACCATTTTTTTTTTTTTGATTATCCAAAACGATACATTTAAACAAAGTGACTTGAAGTAGCCAGGTCATACTTCACTCTAAGACTTGCCAAATTTGGCGATAAACCTTATTTTGATACAATTAATGAGAAAAATAAATAATTAACGAAAATTAGAAATATTGAAATGCAGTCTCTGTATGGAAATTAAAATTACGAATATGAGGGGAAAACTGCAGCAGAGCACCTGGATGTTCCTCAAAGGGTGTGAAATAACTCACTTGAACAGTCTTAACTGAAAAACCATGGAATTGACAACTCTGACGTGTCCGCAATATTAATGTTTATCTCTCTCAAAGGAACGATAATATTTTTATACCAAGATAAAAATTGTGGGCTGACTGGCCTTGCTATGAGCTCCTTTACATCCTTGCATGATCTTTCCATTAGAAGTCTCATAAAATGGCAAACTTAAGACAAGCAATCAGTGTTGAAGTCACCAAAACAAGTGATTAAAACACACAGCTAGAACGGATACGTCGGAGGACCCTCAAGATAACACCAGCACTGTCAGCTTAGAAAGTCGACCATGCAAAATTACTTTCAGGACTTGTGGTCATGCTTATGCTTAGCATAACCATGATGCTTGTGCTTATGGCCGTGATGTCCATGATGTCCATGTTTATGTTTTTGGTGGCCATGGTGTTTGTGCCCATGCTTGAACTTTCCATGATGTCCATGCTTATGTTTGTGATGACCATGGTGATGGTGCTTATGTTTTGCATGACCGTGGTGGTGATGCTTATGCTTTGCATGCCCATGATGATGATGCTTATGTTTTGCATGTCCATGATGATGATGCTTATGTTTTGCATGTCCGTGGTGATGGTGTTTATGTTTTGCATGTCCGTGATGGCCATGTTTATGTTTATGATGTCCGTGATGATGATGCTTATGCTTAGCGTGTCCATGGTGATGATGCTTATGCTTGGCATGCCCATGATGGTGATGTTTATGCTTCGCATGTCCATGATGGCCATGTTTATGTTTATGGTGTCCGTGATGTTTGTGTTTATGCTTCGCGTGTCCGTGATGTTTATGCTTGTGCTCAGCCTTTCCATGATGATGATGCTTGTGTTTTGCATGTCCGTGATGGCCATGTTTATGTTTGTGATGCCCGTGATGATGATGCTTATGCTTAGCATGTCCATGATGCTTGTGCCCGTGTCCGAACTTTCCATGGTGTCCATGCTTGTGCTCTGCATGACCATGATGTTTGTGCCCATGACCGAACTTCCCGTGATGTCCATGCTTATGTTTTGCATGACCGTGATGCTTATGATGATGTCCATGATGTCCGTGGTGCTTATGTTTGTGCTCTGCATGACCGTGATGTTTGTGCCCATGACCAAATTTTCCATGGTGTCCGTGCTTATGCTCGGCGTGGCCATGATGCTTATGGTGGTGCCCATGGTGACCGTGATGTTTGTGTTTGTGATCGGCATGACCATGATGCTTATGTTTATGTTCGGCATGACCATGATGTTTATGTTTGTGCTCGGCATGTCCGTGGTGATGATGTTTATGCTTTGCATGACCATGATGATGATGCTTGTGCTTTGCATGACCATGATGTTTATGCCCATGACCAAATTTTCCACCATGATGATGTTTGTGGTCAGCGTGTCCATGGTGCTTATGTTTATGATGGGCTTCTCCTTCATGTTTGTGTTTATGATCAACATGTCCCACGTGGTAATGAGTATGTTTAATGACTCTGCGGGACAGAAATTAAAATTTGTTCAAAACCTTGTGACACATCGTGAAAAATAAACCAACAACCAGGTATTCGTCTTATGGAACCTTTCCAAAAATGTGCATGAATTATCTACTCTCAAGCCACTGTAGCCTCGGTACTGTTTTCGTGGTAGAGAGGGTGCAATATGCTCGGTATAAACAATTTCGCATCTGATGATCGTATGGTGAGTTTGTAGAAGAAAAAATCTCGAGCACAAAAATTTTTATAACTATAAGATCATTTGCATGATACATAATGGTACAATGGTACATGACCGTATTAATAACAACTAAAAAGTAAAACTAGCACAGCCAATTGATTATCACTTACTTGCCTAAAGATAGACGGATTTTTTTTTCTTCAGACGGAAGAGAAATGAATTTTGAAAATAAAGTTAAACATCAAAGATTTGGAAGATGGAATTATCTAAATGTATGTGAAATGATTAAACGAGAGGATAAGAAGTTAACGTGGGAAAATACGCTTACTTCATTCAGCCACAGATTCACTAATCTTTAAAATTGAAAATCTTCTAAAATCTTTTTAGGTCCAAAAAGGCATTGAAGATAGAGATTTGGAAAATGAAGTAAAAATGAAGCGCTCTATTTCGACACAATTTTTTTTCGCAATAAAAAAGTCAAAAATAATAAACAAAATGAAAAAAATTAATAAATATATAAATAAGAAACCAGTAAAAATTACTCGAAGATTTGAGCATGAAATGACTTAAAGACCACTTTGTCGCTTGAGGTGTCATAATTGGAAACAGCGAACTAAAACAAGTAAGACAATTTTGGAGTCTACATTCAATTAAATAATGTGAACGCAAAAAGGAAATTAAAATGAAACATTGCCTTCTTCCGAGGTAAATCTAAGATGCACGAATGGTTATCACCAGCGATTCTGAAACAGTTAGAGAAGCCAGAGTCTATATGAGTAGAGCTTAACCATACAAATAAATCATCCTTTCTGACACCAAATACCTCTCCAAACATAATAGTGATTGGCGCATAGGGAAACAATTTGCTGGAACTGAACTCAATACACACTAAAATTCTCTTCGTTTCATATCTTCTCAAAAGTAAAGGCTATATTGTACCGTAAACCACTGAACCACAAATAAAAAAACTGTACGAGAGAGTTGGAAAGTAGTCGAGGGAAATGAAAGATGTGAATGAGAAAATCGGTTATTCGGAGATAACGAGTCATATATAGCACCAAAAAGCTTGAAAAAATTCCTAAAAGTCTTGCACGCTTTAGACTTTATGTTTGTGATGATGTTCTCCGTGACCATGGTGCCCATGTTTATGTTCTGCGGAACCGTGATGACTGTGTTTATGAGCGGCACTGCCATGATGATGATGCCCATGGCCAAAATCTCCATGGTGACCGTGCTTATGCTCTGCGGAACCGTGATGACTGTGTTTATGAGCGGCACTGCCATGATGATGATGCCCATGGCCAAAATCTCCATGGTGACCGTGCTTATGTTCTGCAGAACCGTGATGACTGTGCTTATGCGCAGCACTTCCATGATGATGATGCCCATGCCCGAAATCTCCGTGATGACCATGCTTATGCTCGGCAGATCCATGGTGCTTATGACCGTGCCCAAAGCTCCCATGATGACCATGTTTATGTTCTGCGCTACCGTGGTGATGGTGCTTATGATCTGCACTACCATGATGCTTGTGGCCATGCCCAAATTCTCCATGGTGGCCATGCTTATGTTCAGCAGAGCCATGGTGGTGGTGTTTGTGCGCAGCACTTCCATGGTGGTGATGACCGTGGCCGAAGTCTCCGTGATGGCCATGTTTGTGTTCTGCACTACCATGATGATGATGCTTGTGCTCCGCATGTCCATGGTGTTTATGACCATGTCCGAAACTACCGTGATGACCATGTTTGTGCTCTGCACTGCCATGGTGATGATGTTTGTGTTCCGCAGATCCATGATGTTTGTGCCCGTGTCCGAAATCACCATGATGATGATGTTTATGGTCTGCGCTTCCATGATGCTTGTGCCCATGACCGAACTCACCATGATGACCATGTTTATGTTCAGCGCTGCCGTGGTGTTTGTGTCCATGCCCAAAGCCACCGTGGTGATGATGTTTGTGTTCAGCAGAACCATGATGCTTGTGGCCGTGACCAAAATCACCGTGATGCCCATGTTTGTGTTCTGCATGGCCTTGATGGTGATGACCGTGTCCGAAATCGCCATGATGCCCGTGTTTATGTTCCGCACTACCGTGGTGATGATGTTTGTGCTCTGCACTGCCATGATGTTTGTGTCCATGACCAAAACTTCCGTGGTGGCCATGCTTATGTTCAGCACTTCCGTGGTGATGATGTTTGTGATCTGCGTGGCCATGGTGCTTATGTCCATGCCCAAAATCACCGTGATGGCCGTGTTTGTGTTCAGCATGTCCATGGTGCTTGTGTTCGTGCTGGGCTTCTCCATGGTGAGAGTGTTTGTGCCCAACATGGCCCACGTGATAATGAGTATGCTCAATGACTCTGTGGGACAAAATATAGAATCATTTCGGAGACGTGGAATGTAGAGTTGATACCAAGCGTGCCACTCCACCGTATTCACAAGGATGAACGACCCGTGCAAGAGGTTTGGAACCATGACTTGTTGATTCGTGTGCAAGTGTAAATCACCTTGAGGTGTAGAAACTTATCCTGGGTCCGCTTTATTCTGCATTGATGTGAAAATAGAAGAAACGTGATTGCAGCATGCATCAGAACTTCGTTTGTGAAGATAAAAACCAGTCGGTGGATGTGGGTGAAAAAAATATTGTGACGTTGTTTTTTTCCCCGATGCGGCGTCACCTTAAAAAATAGTGCAATAATCAAGCGGTGAATGATCGATTAGTGAGTTGAGTGCTGTGTCAAAATAAAAACGAGATTTGCTGCAATCATTCCTCATTCTAAAATTCTGATTTTTTGGTTTGATCTAGACTTTGAGTACAAGGAACTAGACGTACATGGACAATTTTGGTCATTTCGAAAGTACAGACGAGGTCCTAATATCGAGCAAAGCGAGGAGGAGTTGATCAAAGGACCATAGGGACCAGTAATAAGACGTGGACCAAAGGAGTTGACCAAAAATAAGGCTAAAAATAATCATTACATATAATTTTTTTTTTTTTTTCTCGATAAATGACCTGATTAAAGTTCATTAGTGGGACTAAAAAAAACTGGTTCTTTAAACTGAAAAAATAATTGCTCCATTACATTTGTGGAATATCTGATAAGCTATCAATTTTTATTGAGTGTTCGAAGGTTCTAATAAAAGTCTTCTAGTACGAAATTAATATTACAAGGAGACATACTAGAACTCGAAATCTAGGATATCTCTTAGCCTTATACTAGAAGACGTACAACATGAGAGGTAAGAAAATTCCTGGATGACAAGAAGGTGATAAATGTGAGTGAAGAATAGAGGAAATATAAAAGTGAGTGAAAACGAAAATTTAATACCTGCACAAAATTACTGGATCATTGAACCAACCGGATTTGTTTTTTTTTTCGACTGCATTCTTCTCTTGAGCTTTATTAGCCTATGCTCTGACAACACCGCCATTTTCAGGACGAATTTTCTGTTTAATTTATTCTTTTAACTTTTTTGATTCAGCCAAGTTCTGCCTATCTCGTCTAGGATAAGGAACAGTTTTTGCGAGTATCGTCGTTCAAATTTCATGAGCCTCCAGGAATCAAAAATTTATAGACAGAAGAATTATGAATTTTTATTATTATGTTCACTTTAATATAAAGAAAGGCATTTTACAAGAAAAACATTTCGAATCTTCGTAACATATCTACTAGAAGTGAACATTTTACTTCCTTGAATAAAAGCTCTCTATCGCGGTCGGTATTGCTGAGCTTAATATTCAACGTGCTAAACAAAACCAGTCTTGAAAAATGGTGCCATGTACGTAAAAGTGATTGGTGGGGTGCGTTGATGTGAGTTATTTGGTATGATCACGGATTTTAGTTTAAACTTAGGAGTAGAGTTACAAAACTGAACATCATTGATAGAGACGGCGCATTGGGAGGGGGGGGGGAGAAAAAATATGAACAATATGGTGGACACGCAAAATCTGGACGGGGCTTTTTAAAATGGACATATTTATGCTAAAAGGAACTATGTGCGTAGGCTTAACGTACAACATAGTTTCTGCCAGTATAAATTAGGTACATCCAACTCATTATACAGGCACGACCATTTCTCTAATGACGAACCATCATGACCTAATTAGACCTTTGATAAAAACTTGAACAATGGGAGCCTTAAAAGGTCCTTACTTCAGAGAAAGCAATGAAAAAGGTCCTCAGAGAACAAACTGAATATTTTATTTCTATGAATGAATCGAGTTACATAATGCCTTATATCTCCACTTTAGACACAACAAGCTTCAAATAGCGTCCCGAAAAGATAAGATTTATTAAACGCAAAATTAGTTGGCAATAAAAGTACACCAGACTGACTCGTCTACATGTTGGTCATAAAGTGCTCAATTTTGCAACTCTACGAGACGTTAAGTGAGACCGCTTCAGCGACTCTATACTCACCCTTCGGCCGCTACTAAATCTTTTTCCTCTTTCGTCTTTTTCGTTTCTTCCTTGGCAATACATAACGTGCCAATCCCCACCAGGCATACCGTCAATATCTGATTGAAAAACACACGAGAAAACATGAGGAGGGCGTATAACTACACTATTCAAGCACTTTACCTTACTCGAATCGACGCAACCTACACATGGCTTGAGCCCAGAATCTTCCTTAACGATGATTTAAATACTAGACTGGCATACGCTTTATTTTTTACAGACATTCTGTTTAAAGTTCGTACGAAATTGAAAATGATGTAAAAGCGAAAGGCACTCATTTTCGTGCGTAAGTATTCAGATACTTCAAAATTAAATTGTTTTTGAAATTTCAGAGGTTCGCCTTGTTTGACCGGTTTTTGTAATGAGTGCACAAGTTTAGTCGCTACTTGAGAGGTAGCCGATAAACGGAACAGTATACATTAAGATAACTCAACGAACAAGAGGATTTACGTGCTGGCTAAGTGGGTCTGGTAATGAGTAATTTTAGCTTAAATTTTCCAGAAAGAAAACAAACGTTAGAACGAGAGATTATCTTTGTTCTATTAACATACACTTTAAACGGAGATAAGGAAGCTTGAAAAGCGCATTAGACTGAATCCAATTGATTGCAATTATCGAAAACAAATTTTACATTAATCAGCTCTCGACGGCAACTTTTGTTTACTCCGGTGATTGTCTCGAGCTCCATCAACTTTCGTAGACCAGAACTATTAACACCAACACACACTCGCACACACACAGACAGGATGATGAGAGAGACGCTTGAGTGCTTTCCACGCTGAGTCTTTCGCAAACAGTCAGCTCGAGTGTTTTGCACGAATGATTCTTGTGATTTCTCGAAAGAGAAAAATGATCCAGTCGCACTCGATGAAGCCGGCTAAGGAATGGAAATTTTATTCCAAGTTGATCATGTAAGCTCCGGAAACGAATCGTGATATTTTACGAGCAAATATTCCTTGTTTTGGAGAAACAGAAACTTCGTCCCCTTCTACGAGCATCATAGGCATTCCGCCTGTACCAGCAAACCTAACAAACGAAGTTATACCAAAATCACAATTGAACTTGGGAAACGACAGAGTTACTTAAAAAAAAAACACCAATGAGAAATAATCTGTGGACGTCTCTCGATGGATAGCCTTCCAACATGGTAACGAAATTGGATATAGGTTCACATTTCTGAAAAAATGAAACTCGAAGTTGGCTTTTATTATAGAAGATGACGAGTGAGAAATTAAGATTTGTTCCTTCAGTTTTGAGGGAAACTTCTCTTCCTTGCTCGAATTTTTCGTTATCAACTTTTCCATATTTTTCTAGAGGTGGCAATCCTTAAAATAACCCACTGCTCGCATCTCACTAAAATAATATAAAAGTATATGACAAACGCGTGCCGCCTGACGCCCATGGCGCAAAGCGCTCCGGAGGGTTGGGCTACGAGGCAGTCAGGGGACGTAGCCCCCGAGTTACATAATAAAATATAGATAGAAAACGTCCATTCAAAATCGCAGCGCGAAGGATCTCCGAGCACGCATTGTCTTTTCTCAATGCACCGATTCTGTACGCAACGAGCTATAGTCGAAGGAATCGGCCACCCGGGTATTGTGTCCCGGTGGCCCAGTTTCCCCCGCTTTGAGGGCCAATTTGTGGGCTCGTGATTCCCTGACATTGCGACCAGCGTCGGCATCACGGCGTCGCGGCGTCGACCGGCAACTGTCGTCGGTTCGCGGCAAAAATTGGCCGGTTGTGCAAACATCGGAATTCCGACGGGTTGCGGAACCGCCGCGTTCGGAACCATTATTCCACCCATAGCGGCGTGTCGTGCTCGGCGATGAATCGATTGATCTGCCTTCCATCCCGAGAAAAAGGATCAATTTTCAGGGTGTTCATGTCGAATACCTTGATCATGGATTATTTATCATAGCTTCAAATGCGAAACTATCGATAGCTCATGGGCTAAATTGGAAGCTTGAATAGTGCGTGCACTGAGAAAAACCTACGGCTTAAAAACGAACCAGTGGTTCATAATACGGAGCACCACTAATGGTAGTAAAGGCAACATATAATAATAGTACACATACGTACACGTCGGACGATACTACCATTCTGAGGAAAAACGCCGTATGAACCTCCAGGCGTTGCCCAGTTTCCATCGATAAAACACGAATTTCCTGGTAAACTTATGAATATTTTACTTCCGATTTCTCAGATACTTTTGCTCGCAATTTCATCTAAAGTTCGTAAAAATTTCAAGGGAAAATATTCATAACTTTCCTCGAAAATGAACATTTTATCTGAAGGAATGTGGCAACTCTCGAATGTTCATACGGCGTTCTTCCTTAGCAAGGCAGGATAGGTGGGAGCCTAGGAGCTGTGTAGTGGGCTCTGCGGCGGCATTGGTGGATCCAATAAGCTGGCACGATTGTTTTCTTTCCATTTAAACCGATAGAAAAGAATGTATTCTCGGAGGGGTCAGGTGCCATAGCGAGGATCGATTATTCATTACAAGTTTAAAAGAAATATAGAATAAAGAAATATTGCCAACCTACTGGACCCGTCTCTGGCAGCCGCACCAGGCGACCACGAACAGCGAGCAAGCAGCGCGGAATAATGTTCGAGTATACGGAGTGAGTTGTCGGCTATCCGATTAGATGCGAACGGTTTTCGAAGCGGCCCGCAATTTTCCGCCGCTGGGCATGCCTGTGGGTCATTACTCGGATCTCGGATCTGAGCGATTTTTATCGGCGTCGCGTCATGACGTATCTCTTGACGTCGTCACTTAAACTCTCAACGTGGCATCGGCTTGCGTACTGCGTAACGCCCTTACAAGTGTCATGATCGTCGTGTCACTAAAGTGGGGCGCTGTGGCTACCAGTAGTGAGGCGTAAATGATCGATTATCGATAAGTCCCCATTTAAAGCTGTGGCAAACAATCGATAATTAAGGTTTTCGTTGTGAACACGCTGCTTATCGATCCTTTTCCCTATGTTTAAATGGTAGACCAATCGATATATCGCTAAGCACGCCACGAACTTCGGTTGGCTACCGAACTTCGCGTTCGTGAATCGCACGAGTAAATGCCGTTGGGACGGCGTTTGACAGTAAACGCAGCCAGTCAAAAATGTTAGTATTTTCAAAAGACTGGCAATATGACATGGGATGGGGGAAGTGTTGAAAAATTGTTTGAAACGCTTGGACAAGATTTTAGAGCGAATTTTTCACATTAAGATGAGGAAATTCTGTCAAAACATTATTAAGCAGAATTTTCGTGAATGTATCTGTTACGGTTTTCAAAATATTTTGAGAATAACCATAAAGTGTTTGGGGGAAAACCAATAAACCTGAAACTGCTTTGAATATATTCTAGTAATATTCAGACACAGCTCCAGGAGGGAGCTTGCACGCGATTTGAAAATATTTTGAGAACATAAAAAAAGATACTGTGAGGAAAACTTAAAATTAAAAAAAAATAAATAAAAAGAAGAAGAAGAATTGTGAATAATCCACTTATTTTCAGGCAGACTGTTGGACTCAGTACTGGGGCGTTACTGAGGAGAGCCATTGAAACTCGCAGGGGTGTTCTCAAAAATAGATATCCAACAGAAATTCGATGACATACGAGTAGCGATGATATTAAAAAGCACGCGCATCCAGGCAAGTACAATTTTTTTTTTTATTCCTTTTTAAGAAAAAGAAGAACTTATTGGAGGGGGGCGAGTATCCTCGTACTACGGATCGAGGACTCGTCGAAGAGGCAAACGGTGCTCACGGCGAACAAATCGAATGACAGCCGCAGCCGCGCGCTCAGGTTAAAAATCGACGCGCGACGAGTAATGAGCGCATAACATAACAATTGAGACGTAATAACAGATAGACGATTAATTCCCTCCCTTCCGTCCCGTCGCGGCGGAGCGAGCGCGGCGGCGGAAAGAGGGCCAATAAACCGTGCCGAATGCCGACGCGGCGCGGCGTGGCGTGGCAGGGGCCGGGTAAACAGGGACAGGGACGCCGGGACATGATACCTACCGCGCCCGGGACCGCTTAAGCTCCGTCCGAAACCTCGAGCGGATACGCGGTTCCCTCTTTAAGCGACCGATCAACATCGAATTACATCGGGCGGATGAATTGAGCTCTGAATAAATAGCCGGCAATCAGAGTAAACGCCGCCGCCGCCCTGCCCGGCCGAGGGGGTTCGAGGGACGGTGAACCGATGCGATGGCGTGGAACCATCGATACACCGTGTTCCCGTGCGTCCGATTTGCATATTTCACCCGTCGTGGATACGATGGAAAGGACCGGGACATAGGGCTAAAGCTTCTCTTACACTGGAAAAAAAAAACACATTGGATCTAGAGTCCAGACTTTAAAAACATCGACAAGAAAAAATACTCTTGATTCAATCAGATTTAAGCTTACATCAAGAACCAAGCCTCTTAATTTGAGAGGATTTCCTATTGATTTAAGCTTAAATCTGACTGAATAAAGAGTCCTTTTTCTTGTCAATGTTTTCAAGATCCAATGTGTTTTATTTCCCAGTGTTGTATCTGTAGCGCTACGTAGAGGACCGAAGAAGATCTGGTCGAATTCTCTTTCATGGGGATACTATTATTTGGACTGCAATTTGCAGTCAGGAACTACAGTTCCTGGCCCGCCCGTAGAGACACTCATGTGCATAAAGAAACTGCTGGTGCATGACGTCGTTTCTAAACTGAGGCAGATATTGTAGTTCCGTATTACAAAATGCAATCCATTTGCTGGATATAATCATTGAACGACACAAAAAAAAGTGACAAGATTTTTTGTATTCGAACATTCTAGGACCACCCATACCCCCTTCCACCACTTTTTAAAGTTGAATCCTTAGACATTGAAAGGAAAGGGAGAAAAATGCAAACATTCTGGGTTTTTTTTTCTTACGAAAGGTACATTTTAAGACTGCACATACATGATGCACGACTATGAGAAGACGGGAGCAATAAAAGAATAATAAAGAAATCAATTAAAGTCATGAATGATAAAGATAAATTTCTGTGACTCCTTGAATTCTTCTCTTTTAAAAATTTAAATTGAATTGAAAGACATGTCTTTCATTCGAAAAAAAAATTTAATTAATTTTTTCAAAAAAAAAAAAAACTCTAAAAATTTGAATCCAGATAAAAAAGAAAATGAGGAAATCCATAATTTTATGGACCGAGTGTGAGACTGACTTTCGCTGAAAAAATTAAACGAGTTTATTTTCCTGGTAAATAGCTAAATTACCATATTTTTCCACTCTACTGACAAAACGCTCTTTGAATCATGTAAAAGGGTAGGTCGCGACCCTGAAAAAAAATATTGCGAAAAAGGAAAGGGAAAAGGAAAAAGAAAAAGATCAGACGGAGAATGGAAGTTTTGGAAGACAAAAGAGAGGTAGATGAGCGTCCGTGAGTCACAATTTAAGGATTCAACCCATCGCCTCTTTCCCATCATCAGCATGCATCATCCATCAGGAGCAATTTGGCATTTCCCTGCCGTCAACAAAACGGGTTCAACTCTTTAGAATTACGATCCACACCCCGCCTCGTACGTTAAGGTATCCCAATTCCCAAAGAGCGGATGTTGTCACGTAATAGACGAAACGCCACAGAAGTTAAACCCGAGCTAGCATTGCCAATTCTTCAAATTAATATAACTCAGCTCTAATCAGTGAAATTCACACGCCAATCTGATCTGGCGATGATATTAATTTCATCGTAGTTGCGCTGAGTACTACAATGCTCCATGATCAGAGAGGTAGCAGTCGTTTTAACTGCCGTCTCCTTCAGAACACGATTATAATTTAGAACACTAAATTTTAACTTAAACAGAGAGAAAAAATTAGCGGCACAGCTTCAACCGATGGCGATGTGATAAACGAAGATGCATGGATGCAACTATTCGAGATCTACGGACGTCCGTATTGCATAAGGTCAAAACTGAAGGCGCGCTAAGTTCTTTGATAAAGACGTCCGGATGAAACTATGCGTACTCTGCGGATGTCTATTTTGTGTATGCAAATAGCTGAAGGCGCCCTAACTTCCAGAATGACAAACAGTGGAACATCCGAGTTGACCAACATGAAAAACGACAATTTTCTATGCATGGATTACACTTTTAAATAAATACAGTTATCCTACTGAACGGACGTGCACCTTGCACGTTCTGGGCGGCAACTGAACTCGAAAGACAAAATTAATTCCAAATTTCATTTAAAAAAATAAACAAAGAAATAAATAAAAACAGGCCAAAAAAATCTAAGTCCAAATATTATTATTTTATCTGTATCAATTGACTAGATACTTCGATAAACAACGGAGGCATGAGTTTTTTTTTTTTTTTTTTTTAAAAACACTCCCGAGAAACATTTTTCCTTGGTCCATTCTAACGTCAAAAAAGGAAAAGAAAAACCTGCCTATTTGTGCCGACTTGAACAAAAGAAACCCACGCCGACCAATCTCCAAATTTTAAAATTTCCCATAGCCTTCCTGAGTTCCCATATTCTTTAAAATGTCTTGACTCCAGTAACTCCCTTTCTATCGCTACCCTGATATACGAAAAGTTGTATGCCTCCTGGATGTCATCGCCTGAGCCTCGCTGAAGAAACTTTGAAAATCCAAAGGGCGGCAAATTGGCAACGAGTGGAGGAGCTCGGGATGTTCAAGTGGCGGTATTCCCGAGGCGCGATATCAGTGGCGGTCGGGGCTCGGCGAGCAGCTGCTCATATTTGCCTATTAGTCTATTTATCTAGCATTCAAGTCGCTCACCATCACCGCTCCCGATCTCCCGCCCCTAAACCGCCGAGCCCGGCGCGGCGCGGCGTACAACCCCCTCGCTCGCACTCACCGAAGGGCGTATTCGTCCGTCTCTCTCTCCCTCTAATCCTCCCCCCTACAACCCTCCCCAACTGCCGGGAAAACCACACTCAACTCCACCTCGAGCCTCGATCCGCGAGCATCGCGCACAGTTGACGAAACCAGGGATATCGTGGGGTCGAAAATGATAAACCGATCAAAACGTGACGTCACTGAAGGGATTCTCTGTTCGTCGCTCTCCTGGCGTAAGGGCGTATCTTGATTTCCGCATGAGCCCCAGAAAGCGTGGATTTATACGTAAAACAGGGCTCGCGTGAAATTAGAGACCCGCCTTTTACGTCAAAGGGGCGACGTGTAGAGACGGCATCGACTGTGTGTGTCAAGTGAGATATAAATAACACCGCTGATAAATGTTACCTCATCGGAAGGACCCGACCTATTGAGGGCAACAATTAATTCCCCGCCCTGAGAGTCACATTTGAAAATACCCAGTGCCCTCTCAAACTGCCTCCTTGAGCACCCAAGTGCCTGATCTATAAGATTTCCATAAAAATAGGATGTGCAAGAAAGGTTTACCCTCTATTTTTACTCGGCTGGTCGGGAGTTTCGCGCATTTTCGTTAAAATAAAAGCTTCCCAATCACTAATGGCATAAAACACTAATTTAAAAGAGAAGTTGATTGAAAAATGAGATGGTACCTGTATAATCATTGAGGTACTGACAGAACAACAAAAGGCTGTCATTTTTCGCAGAAAACCATTAAACCAGCGGACACTTTATTCGGCCAAAAATGAAGAGTTTTGTTCGTAAATTCAATTTTGATGGAAAATCTATAAATTAGACACAATCAGAGCTAAAACGGGCATTTCTTCCAGGGGAGCTAAGTATTTCCGACCTTTGAGAAGAGTCACATCCTAAGAGCTTTAGATAATTTACGGACAGTCCCTGGGAGGTTGGTCAGCTCTTAATGTTCAGAGAAACATTATCAGGATGTCTACTAAAACAGGCTGGCCAAAAATCAGTGCTTTTACCGTACTTTTTCAGTGCATTCCCAAGAAATTCAGTACCTCCTCAATAGAAAAATTCAGTACTTTTCAATACTTCCAATTGACGAAATTCGAAAAATTTCAAAAATTTGAATTTTTCGCTCAAATTACGACAAAAGTGACAGGGAAATAAGTAAAATTCCGGGCCTTCATGCGGAATTTTCGCACTTTTTCAGTACTTCCGGACTGCCCTTAAAAAATCAGAACTATTTCCGGACTTTCCGGACTTGTAGACACCCTGCAACGACGCACCTCCTCAGAATTCTGCCCAGATTCTACGATTCTCAGCAATTATTTTACTCCATGGCGGGGCCTCAACTTGGGCCCACCGCGCGCGCGGTCGGGGCTGAGAGACGCGACGCAGCGCGACACCTCGAACCCCGATCCCGCGTCCCAAATGTTCATCAACTGCAACTTTCAGAAGAGGAAGAGGGGAGGAGGGGGCCCGCCGCATAGTTAACCACCTCTGCGCGCTAACCGGAGTTAACTAATTACCGCTTGACTGTTCCGAATACCCCGCGTTGCGTAATAATGGAGCACTCCTGGTTCCGCAGCAACGGGGGTCGCCAGCACGCCGGCTGCGGAGGGCGGGGGGCCAAAAAAGCCCTTCAGGAATTTGAGAAAAGGGCGAGCGGCTTTTCGGTACATTAACTACTTTCGACAGACCCACAGAAAGTTGGACTGTTAAAAATTTTGGGGAAAAATTCCGTGCTGGGATCTATACAGCGCCCAAAAACCCTGAGTGCTATGAATGCGGAGCGGAAATCTTTTCTTCTTACGGAACGGAATCTCCTCTTTTTGCGGAGTGTCACGCGCATTTATGGGGCTAATTTTACTTCGCATTCATATCAATCGGGGTTTTTGGTGCTATGTACGGCGCTTTTCAATGCTCGATTTTTAACAGCGTATGAGCCCTAACTTACTTTGCTAGAGCTAGAACCTACTTTGGAAAAAGTGTTGGAAAAACACTGTGCGTTTTAAAAATCTGAGGATAGATTAAAAAGAGGAAAAAAAAGAAAAAACCTATTTTTTGGGATATTCACAAGTTAAGAATACAGAACGCTTAGTAGACTTTCAAAAAAGTGCATAAGGCAGGGAAAACTCTCTGATGAATTTTGATTTTGAAATGTTTTCAAGACTTAAAATAAGCTCATTTTCCTTCTTTCGTGATTTTATCCTTTGTTACTCACGTCTTCTCTTCTTTTTTTGTTAGCATGTCACTCTGCTACATTCGATTTAAAGTAAATTTTTCAGAAATTCAATTTTGTCTGTTATTTACTACTAAAGTAAAAAAATAGCTCACATTTTGGCTGAGAAGCTTTAGCGACTAGGTATAAAGAAAGAGGTGATCTTGTTTTGATTGATGGGGATCCTGGATGATCGCGTACTCAATCGGATCAATAAAACTTCCTGACACCACAACCCACAGAACGAATTTGGACAAACTCTAATGATCTTTCGCCTACAATAACAACGACAAAAGAGAATGCCCATGTGGGCAGCAAGAAAGTAAAAATAAAAAAAAGCGAGAGACAAGGTCTCGTCGGAAAATCCAAGAAAGCTAATTGAATTGGATATGCGACCGCAAGTGACACTTAAGAGCTGATAACTCTTTTTTACACACGTCCTCAATCGTATCCCATGGGAAGAAGCACTTGGATCACTTAACACCAGAATGTAACCACACTTCTCATTCGACGCCATCTCGAGGCGAGATGAATTCGCCTTCGGGCGAGTCCCCAACAAGCAGAATTTCCTTCGGCACAACACAAGCCACGCACACACAGAACGGTCGTAAGTCGATGGAGCACGGAAAATTCACTGAAGGGGGGAAAAACGAGGGCTCCAAGTGAGTACTTACGACGGTAGCGGACCCCATGGTGACGGTCGGATTATCCTGGATCGAGTCCTGAGTTGGAACTGTTGGGCCGAAATTCCGGCCGATCGGTTTTATATAACCGAGGGAAAAACGCCGTCTCGGAAAACTGCCGCCGCGCCGACAAGGATGGAGACCCGGTGGGGAAAAGCGCCCCCCCCCCTTTTTGAGAAGGGGACCACAAGTAGGAGAGGGAAATCGTTGGAGCAACAAATCAACAAAAATTATGGGCACAGGTGCCCCACTCGAACGCAGTCTATGGGAACAGTAACTACCCGATTCAGAGTGGCGCTGGACAGAGCCCAGATTTTCCAGCCCTCTTTAGAGACAATACATTTTAGAGACCCCGCACAGTCATCGAGTGTGGCAGAACTAGAAATTAAGTTCGGATATCGACGTTACCTTTTGAGCTTCCTGCGCATAAAATACGTCAATTGATGACTGACGGATCTCCTGTGGTGTCTATTGGTACCCTGTAATTCAAATTCCTTATTTATTCAGTACAATTTCCTTGCTTTTTCCTCTCTTTCCCAAAAATTCATTCTTTCGGCGATTCTTAAAAATCCTTGCTTTTTCCGTACTTTTTCCTCACCTCACACGCATTTTTAACTGTATTCGGAATGGGAAATAGGAATGATGGAATGACAGAGGAATAAATGGAAAAACACGAGGAATCGCACCGGGAACTTGATAAATGGACATCGCATATCCCCAAGGAAGGCTACTTTTTAGAGTTCATCACAAAAATCTCAAATTTCCGTACCTTTATATGGAAAATCCGTACCTTTACCGTTACAACCTTCCAAAATCCAGGCTTTTTCAGTGTATCCGTACTTTTTCCGTGCAGTAGGCCTGCCTGCGCTACTACTCACACCGAGCTCCCGACAGTACCCGACGAAGCGGAAGGTCCAGTCGCTCTGGGGGCAGTCTGGATAGACGTGGGGTTTAACTCGGTGTAATCGTGCGTGGTGATGGGCATAATCCGAAGGGACTCCACTGGGGACCGGCAACAGCGAACGGGGGGAAATAAAGACGGTGACATTCCGGACCGGAGGAGTCGGGCGAACCTGACCCACTTAAAGTGACATCGCAAAAGAACCCGCGCCGAGCCCGAGGCCACTCTCTCAAGCGGGGATTAGGCTCGTTTCGGGGCACTTTCCGCCCTCCGAGCGGCGGCTAAGCACTTTACTTGGACTTATTTCTGCCCAACGGAACTATGTGCGTTACAACGTGAGCCCTGTTATGCATATACTCTTACGGGTCTCAGGGCTCATGTCCTAATGCACGTAGTTCCTTTTGGCAGAAATACGTCCCCTTCTGTCCCACCTGTCCGCTCGGATCTCGCCGAGCATTCCATTAATACTCTGTTACGCGGTTTTTTTTATAAAAAAGGACATGCTTCCGTCAAAATAGGGGAATGAGTCAGTACTCAGTGGCACCCTTTTTTAAATTTAAAAATAAGAAGAAAAAAAAATCATTCGGGGTTGATGTGTACGGAGACCGGGGGAGGGGCCCCGCTCGTTCGCATCCTTGACGTAACGACGTATCTCGATCTCCAAGTGACCTCTATACTCTGTATGACTATATGCTTTCCGGGACTCATGCGGGAATGGAGATACGCCCTTACGTAAGAGCCGCAACGTAGTGTAAAAGGTGACCGCCGCGGCGCAAAGCAGCCATGAAGGAGCAGTTGAGACATGCTGATCTCGTGTTGAACGCTGCTTCACCATCACCTTTTCCAACTGCCAACCAGCTCGTCTACCGTCAAACCAAGCTACGTTGCCACGTCGAGACACAGTCCGTTCACAAGAGGCGTATTTTCATTGCAGATCAGTTCGAATCGATTGAACGACTGATCGACTGATCATCTGATTACCGCGCAGCAATCATTGTGCGGTACTGCAAGGTGCTTCGTTAATCTTCGGTTATCCTCGAAAATCTTTTGTGGTTCATCTGGCCGAAGATCGGTGCAATCTCGGAAGATCTTTGAGGCCGAAAGTTAGTTCTGAAAATGTCAGTATAATGATGAGCCCTGATGCATCGATAAAGCGCGGAACACAACTGAGATATTCGCTCGACCAATCAGCAACCAGCAGCGGACGTCCTCTCCTGACCATTCAATTGTTGCCGAGTTATCCCCAAAAACATATTTGATTTTGAAGAAAATCTGGACCGCGTTTCCGTGAAGGCTCCCTTCACAGCGCAAAGCGATCGTTAGGGACGGGACTGCGTAGGGACCGGAAGGTTGGCTGATCATTGAAAGCTCTTGTTGATCCTGACGTGAATTTTTCCTCATTCTTTGACACAGCCAAGAGTGTCACGTGAAGATGACCCAGCGTGCTGGTTGTTCTTCACCTGTACCACTGATTAAGTCGAGATATTGTCCTAGTCCCAGAATCATTTGTTGATAGACAAGCGATGATTTATTGAATGAAACACAAAGAAAAATTAAATTTCACAACTAATAACGATTTTTCCCGGCGCACGATAGGGCAACGGCTGCGTTCGCAACAGCTCGTCCATCAAATCCCCGTTCGCGAGGAGCCACAGCGCGCGCCGCGAAAAATAATTAAACCATCAGACACGACATCAAGTATGATGAATGCCGTCGTTCGGCGCGAAAATCGAAGCGAGCGACTGAACCGGAGCCGGTAGTGACGGATTCCACAGATTGGCAACAATGACTTTCGTCCGATTAAACGCGTGTAAAACGATCGACATCCATCGAGGATAGCTACCTTATCAGGGATCAATTACGTGATTTTCGGGAATTTTTTTCTCTTTTGGAGGAAACCCAGTTTTCTCTGATGATCTGGCTCTTACGGGTCCATATAATTGAAATATTATGGACTGGCCTCCCCCTCTAGAAAATCTGCACGACAAAAAATAGCCTCATAATCGGTACACTGCCTTGCTTCACTACATAATCTATTCGGAAAAAGGAACATTTTTAGCATGTTTGTCGAGGGTTATTGGTAAAGTTAAACCTTAGGTTTACATTCGGCTAAGTTCACAATGAACGTATCCTCAAACGCATATCAAAGACCTCCATTTGGTTGGTTTGGGTCTACCCAGTACACTTCGTGTACTGGGTACACGAACCCAAACCACTCCTGGAAAAATGAGGGCCGGACCATCCTTAGAAAATTGTTCAAGCCAACGATTAGGGTGGCGAATAGAGGTGTCCTGCTAGCTCATTCGAAAATTGCACGGAAAAATGAGAATATTAGTGGTTACGAAACCGAGTGGCTAAGTTGATCCTGAGGGAATCTGGGACTATATCAATGGTGAAGCGAAGTAACGGCTTCGTGTCAGTGTTGCACAGTGACAGAGGGACAAAAAACGAAGCTCAGTGTGACGAATTCGGAAAGTTCGACTAACGTCATAATATAGTTAGAACTCACCATAATTTCGCTTGAAATACGGTGGACATTAAACAACAGGATTACTTACCTGAAACAAACAAGAAAAAGAAAACTTCATTAGAATCAAACAATACGAATTCAAATATAAAATTATGGGCGACAGAAAATAATTCAGCAAGGGGTGAAGGATTCCAAGCGTGAAAATTCTTATTAAAGACGAGGAATCAAGCCACATCAGCCATGGCCAAATTTAATCGGGCAATTTAATTTTATACATGAAACCGGTTGTGCAGATTTTTGTGCAAACTTCAGTGAATTTTCTGCATGGTATGAAGAAACTTCCTGATAATTTTTAAAGGAATCCGCAGAGACATTCTAATGTAAAAATTAAATTGTCCGGTTTTTGGCAATGGCTGATGTGGCTTGGTTCCTCTCTGCCGTTTTAAGCGCTCAGCCGATAGGCAGCGCTTTTTGATTTCGACTTGCCTCTAGAGTACTAGTATAAGTACTAGTGCTAATTCGTTTAAATGGCGCACCAGCTCATCGATGTGTAGGCTTTGGGGGGGGGGGTCCATTTTTAAAATAAATAAAGCTGTGAAAACTGTATTTTATGCTTTTAACGTAATGCGCAGGTAGTATCGATCGTTTGTCTGTAAAAAAATTTCTTAGCGGTAGAGTAATTCTTATCGAAATTGATCGTTGAACTTAAATGAAGCCTTAAAAAAACGCGCCTGATGAGCTCAACGCTGACTATCATTTTCGGGAAACGAAAAAACGCGTTTACGGTTTCATTGGTAACCTTTGTTTGCTATCAGCTGATGTTTCATTTCCATTTCCCAGCCAAGTCGACGGAGTTTATACTTCCTCTCTTCACTAAATACATTGACTAACACCTGAGCGCTTTTCTAATACGACAGTATTAGAACTTTCCCCGCTTGTTTTTTTTTTTTTTTTTTTTTTTTTTTTTTTTTCATTTTGGGAAATCCTGATTTTTCCAGATTTTTGACAGCTAAATCCTGATTTCATAATTTTTTCCAAATCCTGATTTTTGGCAGAGAAAAATTAACAGAAAGGTAATCAACGGAAAATAAGCGGACGGCCGACCAATTTTTCATTAAATCCTGATGGACCTGAAATCCTGCTAGAATCGGGAAAATCCTAATGCTAGACACCCCCTGTTAAGAAGTAATATGAAACGCTTGAAAAACGAACTTAGGCATATACAGAGTTATTCAAAAGTCACGCACCACTGGCCTAAACTTCAGTTCTAATTAAGATATCGATTTGCGGTTCGTGACGTTTTTCCTCGTATTAAGGGGGGAAACTTTTTAGGTACTTACCAGTTTTTGAACCCCTCAGGGGGAGGGGATGGGAAGCAACTCAAAAATTTCAAATGGCCACCCCTCTCATGGCCAGTGGTGCGTGACTTCTGAATAACCCTGTATAAGTGTGCTAGCGAGGGAGGAGACGGCAACCCCGCGGATCCCGACTCTATCGGGGCGAGGATCTCAGCGGGCACTTTTTTCTCCCCATTCGTTATCCAGGTCTCCCGGGTGCACAGTCCACGTTGACGGCCACTATTAAACCCCGAGATAATCTCCTGACCCTCGCGGCCCTGCATATTTCGTCGCTCCTCCGACGTAAAGGCGCATCTTAATTTCCACTTGAGCCCTG